AAAAAAAAAAAAAAAAAAAAAAAAAAAAAAAAAAAAAAAAAAAAAAAAAAAAAAAAAAAGCCTGATAAAGCCCGCAGCGGCGGATAGGACTATTACCTTAGACTCGTCGGTCTAGCCTCGGTTGGCAGGGTCACTTCGGCTCGGTCTAGCTTCGGCATCAACCCTCGGAGCGTCAATTCGGCCGGCGGGCAACGTCCCACGTACACGAATTAAGCTATATAGACCGCAGATACGGCCAATCTCTTAATCCGTGCAAGTGGGACCTTGCCCCGGGTTTGAGACGGGAAATGGCGTGGGGGACCTGAGCTTCAGGCTTGTCTAGTGGCTGGGGTGTCTAGTGCTTGGGTGTTCGTTTGACCCCTGCTGAGAGTACACTCACATGAGCACTTTTCTGATTGTATCTGACCGCAAATACGGGCAGGAGCTGGATGCGTTTCCAACTGGAATCACGTACAGAGCTGAGCCAAAAAAGTCCTGCCGTGGTGTGAGTATGCCCTGACTTCGGCGTTTCGGGAAGGTGGGCGCGCGCGCAAACCACTGGCCGCCTCGTGGCGCGTTTGTGTTGGATCTTTTATTCTGTTCCGTTGTGTGTGTTTTCCGCTTGTGACTGGGGAAGCTTAGGGCCTCGTCGGTCGCACTACTCGCCACCCGCCAACATTTTGATTGCCTGTGGACATCATTTTGTCCAGATGCATTCGAAATCTTGGTGGATGGCCAGTAGTGCAACTAGGGCCTTACGGCAGTGTCCATGGTGCTACGTAGCTCGATTGGTTGGGAGGATAGCGTGGGCGGGAGGAGGGACGGAGGGGCGACGAGGCACGGCGAGATCCCATGGTGGGATAGCCTTTTGCGGCAGGAAGTGTCGTTGGGGCTCGCTCACGACTGTCGAATTATGCAAAACGAGAGTGAATCTTCTGCTAGAACATGGAACCATACACTGCCATAATTTTTGTCTTTTGTGCTTATCAAGAGTATAGTGGCGCGAGGCCCATTCTGTCTGTCAAGCTGGTGTCGTTCTGATGGATGCTGCTGACGGGGGGGCAGATACGTGGTGTAGGGGTGTTAGCCCCATCTTGGCCGGCCTGTTGCGCAAGGCGGGTCCAATCAAGCAAATGCAGTTAATCCGTCCTTGATTAGTGAACACCGCCTTTCTCTCTCTCTCTCACTCTCTCTAGCGGCTCTGCTCTGGGGATGGCGCATTCGCCCGTGTGGCTCCGGTGCGGGTACTCGGCGTCTGAATCGTCATCATGGGCAGCATGGGCAGCATCATTGGCAAATCCTTTCTTGAGAGAGCTGTTTACATTGATTATCCCCTCATCGTCGGCCGCGATGTCCTTCCTGCCTACAGATCTGTTGCGTCTGCTGCTGTCGGGTGTCCTGTCGAACATCCCGCGGGAAATGGAATCGTTCGGCGAACCCCTTGTGCAAGACCACGTGCGGCACTGAACCGTCTCAGCAGCAGTGGAAATCGATGTCACCCTGTTCTTCCACGTGGCAATCTCCTGTTGTTACAGCAATTAGTATTACTGTTATCCTCTTTACTAATTAGATCGCGCGATTCCGGTCGCGGACTGATAATCGGACACGAACGACCGACGGTCCTTGGAGTTTGCGACCGGGCCATCCAATCAAATCGTCGAAGGGTCGCCGCCGGATGATCGGGATCGGGTCCGGTGTTCGAGACGTACCGAGGGGTCGTGTCTGGTGTATAATTGATTGATTGATTGATTGATTGGCACTCCAGGATAGGAGGGGTAGGCAAATTCAGTGGAGGAATACAAGTTTTGAGCGAAGGCTTGGGGTGGAATACAATTGAGGAAACGGAATTTCAAGGAGACAAGAAACAGAAAGGATGATAGAGGAAGAATGGAGGAGGAGGTGGTGGTGGTTGGTCGAGCCAGCAGCAGCTGTACAAGATGCCGCCGGGAATTATTGCAAGTAAGAGTGCGCTGCCACGGTTCGCTTGCGAGATGGGGGAGTGTGGGTGAATGACTGAATCATTTCCAACGAGACTAACTGCAATTGAATCGATGATCCGATCAGATCCGATCGAATCGATCGTGTTGATCGTGATTGATGGAGTGCCAATTCAATCCACTGATTGATCCGACATAGGATCTCGATATAAAGATGTGATTGCTTCAGATCTACACAGAAGGAAGAAGAAAGATTGAACGACGGGGCTGGAGACCAGCTTCGGGGGGGGGGTGGAGTGGGAGGAGAGGGGGGGAATAGAGAAAAGAATCATACAGTAAGAAGAGGAGGAGGGATAGACAAGACACACAATCATCAGTTAACTAAGTTTGATGCGATGGATGGCAGCTGGGAGTCATCGTTGAAGACGCCCCTGCTTGCTGCAACAGCATCGGGGGCTCCGTCGTCGGGTGGTCGTGCACCGCAGGGGTATGTCGCGGCAGCGACCGGTCGCTCGTTCCCGGCATCCATCGGCATCGCGCAGCAGCAGCAGCAGCAGCAGCAGCATCCGAACCCGGTTTCGTCGCTGTCGGGATCGCAACGTAGCTCCCGATGCGCGTCGCCGCACTACGCGCCGCCGGTGCTCCCGCCGTCTTCGTTGGGTCCGACACATCACCACCAACCACTGCAGCAGCAGTTTGCCACGTGTCCTAGCTATTTGTCGGTCTCGGCACCTTCGGCGGGGGCGGCGGCGGCGGGGAGGAGATCGGGATCCCGACATCACCCGGCAGTAGCAGCGCTATCAGGGGCAGAACGCAGGCCGTTGTCGAGATCGAGCTCGCCTGCGCCACGTGGCGGCAGACCATTCTCGACCTCAAGATCGCCGCCTCCGTCACGTGGCAGGCCATACTCGCGGTCGAAGTCTCCCGGGCCATTCGGCAGGCCATTGTCAGGGTCAAGGTCGCCTCCTCCCCGACTATCGGCGTTGGGGAGCAACTTTGACAAGCCTCGAATCGCCGCCGGATCGTGGAGCACGGGTGGTGGAGGAGGTGGAGGAGGAGGAGGAGGAGGAGGAGGAGGAGTAAGTGGTACAACGCTGAGTCTGACAAGGAAGAAGGCACTTGCTGTGCGCACGTGGCTACGTTTAGATGCTAGCGGAAATGTCCAAGTGATGGAGGTTGACAAGGGTACGATCATGAGGAGATGCCACATCCCTGCGCGCGATCTGCGGCTGCTAGATCCGCTCTTCGTGTACCCATCAACGATCCTCGGGAGGGACAAAGCGATCGTGGTCAATTTGGAGCAAATCCGCGCGCTAATTACGAACGAGGAGGTGTGGCTTCTGGAAACGTCGGATCCGTGTGTGAGGGCATTCGTGCGGGAACTAGGACGGCGCCTTGCTATGCCTCACAGCGGCAATCGAGGAGGTACGACTGCTAAAACTGAACAAGCTAACCACCAAATTAATCAGGGTCAGCAGCAGCAGCAGCAGCAGCAGCAGCAGCAGCAGGTTCCATCGTCGTGGCAGCAGCAGCAGCAGCAGCCTCCGTCGTGGCAGCAGCAGCAGCAGCAGCAGCAGCAGCACGTTCCATCGTCGTGGCAGCAGCAGCAGCAGCAGCAGGTTCCATCGTCGTGGCAGGAGCAGTGCTACGTGCAGCAGTCGAAGCGAGGAGATGGCCATTCACCGGCGGCGGCAGAATCCGGGTGGCTTCCACCAGTCATGGTCCCGACAGTAGCAGCGGGGATACCGACGGGAGGAGCGGTAGGAAATTTGATGCCGTCAACGGCGGCGACGATGGCTGGATCGCACGTCGCAATCCCGCCGTCCACGTCCATGAGCGAAGCTCAAAGTCCGACGAGACGTGTTGACGGCTCGTTCTTCGCATGTGGAGGGGGAGGGGGAGGAGGAGGAGGAGGAGGAGGGTGGATGCCGACAGCCTGGCCGGCGCCGGCGGCCGGTCGCCACGATAGCGATCGTAGCGGGGTGTCGCCGGACATGGGATCGGGATGGGGAGAAGAACCCGAGGCCAGACTCGCAGGCGCAGGTCCTGGAGGAGGAGGAGGAGGAGGAGGAGGTGGTGGTCATCAACCGCCCGCCACCACCGCCAACGCCGGCGCAGGAGGAGAAGGCGGAGAAAAAGGAGGAGGAGGCGAGGAAGGTGGCGATTCGGAGTCGTCGATTGCTTTGGGCGCGTGGAGCTCATCTGCGGGGGGCGCGGCTTGGGACGAGCTGCCGTTCGAGTTTCGGGCTCTTGAACTCGCTCTAGAAGCGGCTTGCTGGCTTCTAGATCGCCAGACAACGGAACTTCAGCAGGAGTCTTATCCGGTACTGGATGAGTTGGCAAATAAGGTAAGTACGCTGCATCTGGAACACGTAAGGAGACTGAAAAGCCGGCTAGATGCACTCATGCGCCGAGTTCAACGGGTGAGAGACGAGATCGAGCAGTTGATGGATGATGATGCGGACATGGCGGAAATGTATTTGACGGAAAAGAAGGTCCGAGAAGAGGAATCCATCCTCGGAAGACTTGGAGGAGGAGGAGGAGGAGGAGGAGGAGAAGAGCAGTATGGCAATCATTATCATCATCGTCGTCATCTTCGTAGTCGTCGTCCTTCCAATCGCGATCGCGATCGGCAGAACTCTTCGTCCGATGATCTTGTCGAAAGGGATCGTCGATCTGACGTGGCAGTCTGTGGTCCCATCTCGACCAGTACGATGGTTGCCAGTCCAGCCTGGAGTCTGGATCGGGACATGGACAGTCTGGTGGACAATACCAGCATGGCGTGCCCGCCCTCTGCTGCCGCTCAACGGCATACCCGGCCCTCCTCTTCTCCTCCTTTTCCTCCTCCTCCTCCTCCTCCTCCTCCCTCTTCACGTCCGGGAAAGAAGCGCAAGGCTGATGTTCAGCAGCAGCAGCGGCAGCAGCAGCAGCAGCAGCAGCAGCAGCAGCAGCAGCAGCAGCAGCAGCAGCAGCAGCCACACCCAGGAGTCGGCGGTGTTGCCGCCGCCGCCGCCGCCACCACCACCAGCACCACCTCCATACTAACCCCCTCACGACGAAGTGATTTCAATCTGCTTTCTTTGAATCATCCTCGTGCTAAAGATGATGATCCTGAGGAAGAGGAGGAGGAGGAGGACGATGAGGAGCAGCAGCAGCAGCAGGAAGATGACGGCGGGAGATCCGCGGTCGTTCGCGATGGCGAAAGACCCGACCACGACGGCGGAGACGATGGCTATGGCGATGGAGATGAGAAGAAGAGGCGGCCGCGACGCATCCGTCGGAACATGAGCCGCCGCGATCGCGATCGCGATCGATTCCATCATCGTCATCGTCATCACCAAGCACACGGATCTGCTGCAGCTGATTCCTCCTCCTCCTCCCCCTCCCCCTCCCCCTCATTAGTGTATTATACCGACGACACTTTGGCGGGTACATCGAGTTTGCAGCCTTCTTCTACGTCTGCTGTGCATACAGAGGAGTTAGAGATGTTGCTAGAAGCCTATTTCATCCAGTGTGAAAGCACTTTACAAAAACTAGGATCGCTGAAGGAGTATATCGAGGACACTGAAGATTACATCAACATTCAGTTGGATCAGACCCGAAATCAGCTGATTCTGTTCGAATTGCTGCTCACTTCACTGACCTTCGTCCTCACAATTTACGGCGTTGTTGCGGGAATCTTCGGCATGAATGTTCCCATTGGACTCGAAAATAGCCCGCAGGCATTTGGAGTGGTCATCGTGATCACGGGTTTAGTGGGGCTTGCGATTTTTGCAGCCATCATGGGGTATTTCCGCTATAAGAGATTGGTGCCCTTATAGAAAAAAAAAAAAAGCAAAGAAACGAAAACTCGGTGGGGTATTACGCCGCTATAAGAGATTGGTGCCCTTATATATATAAAAAAAAAAGCAAAGAAACGAAAAAAACTGGGAAGCAAAGGAATCCTAGGATCCAGCTGAGCTGTGGTCCTCGGTTTCATTGTCTTTCTGTTTTCTGTTTTGTTTTTGGTGACTCTGGTGTGAATGGGTGTGGTCGCTCGTTGTTTGTGTTCGAAAATAACTCTTGTACAATTTGATTGTTGGAGGATAGTCATGGAAGTAGCAGCTGCTGTAGTTGTTGCGGTAGAGGTACGAGTAGCAATGGGAGGAGGAAGAGGAGAGGAAGGAAGAGGAGGAAGAGGAGGAGGAAGAGGAGGAGGAGGAGGAAGAGGAGGAGGAAGAGGAGGAAAAGGAGGATGAAGAGGAGGGAGAGGAAGAGGATGGGGAGGAGGAGGAGGAAGAGGAGGGGGAGGAAGAGGAGGAGGAAGAGGAGGGAGAGGAAAAGGAGAAGGAAGAGGGAGGGGAGGAGGAGGAGGAGGAAGAAGAGGACAAGGAGGGAGAGAAGCAGTAGGGGAAACGGAGGTCTGGAGTAGAAGAGTAACGGTTTATGGACGCTCCACAGGTGGAAGGGATGAGGATGGAGAGAGAGAGAGAGAGAGAGAGAGAGAGAGAGAGAGAGAGAGAGAGAGAGAGAGAGAGAGA